CTGCACTCCAGTCTGGGTGACAGAGTGAGACTCCAACTCAAAAAAAATATATATATATTCATAGGGCCAGTGGTCTCTGTCCTTTGAATGAAAGTTCCTCCTCCCCAGAATTGCAAGACCTAAAGGATTTAGGCGAAACAGGTACTGAGGAGTATCTCGTTCACCAGTTCAGGAGCTCAGAGGATCACCAGGCTGGAGTGGGGGCTGGTGGGCAGCCGCTGGTCAGCGTCAGGCCCAGAGGCTGGGCACAATCATAGACGAAACTGACCCTTCTGGAAGAGCTAGATCCCCAAGGCAAGTGTGTCTGTGTTCTCTTTGTAGTACCGAAGATAACAGCCGGGAGGAAGAGGAAGCCAGGCCGGGGCAGACTGAGGAGACTCTCCCCGGCGTCTCCCATGCAACTGCATCTCACTGCCGTCAAGTGGAGTTGGGACGAGCGCACTCTCTGAGCAGCGGCATCCCGTCAGCGTTCCTCACATTTTATGCTCAGCACAGATCAAGAGGCTTGACTGTGGCTTCCCCATTCCTCCCACCCCACTCGTTCCATTTTAGAGTAGACCCTCACCTGTCACTGAAAGTGGTTTGAGAATGAATAAACGTCAGCACCATGGACAGAAGACAAGCCTTGCCTTGGCGTGATTTCTGTGCTTCCAGGGGAAGAGAATTCAGCCTGATGTTCCTTGTCATTTCACCCTTTGTCAGAAAAAGAACGCTCTGTTCTTTGTCCTTCCTTTTGTCTCTCCCTGGCTTCCTCTCTTTTTTGTGGAGGGTGGGGAAGCTTCAGACTGCAGTTCTCAACCTCCCCTGCCCTGGCCCTCAGACACAGGCTCAGGTCCTAAGAAGCCCCAGGAGACCAAAAGGGCATTGGTTTTTTAATAATCAGGGCACCTGTTGATTGAAAAGAAAATTCACAAACATTTGGGCTTTTCTTCCTTGTTCTGTCTAGTGTAGCTTGTACTCAACAGGCAATGTTTGGTTTGTTTGGGGGGCACAAACAAGTGTCCCCCAAACATAGATCGTGAGAGCACCAACCAGATTTTCTCTGACACATTTTGAGAGTTAGTGCTGTGGCTAAGTGTGGCTCAGCTTGTAATCCCGTGCCTTGGGAGGCTGAGGTGAGTGGATTGCCTGAGCCCACTCACCTTTCCGTTTTGAAGAGTTCACAGAGCATTGGTTGCAAAGCTGGGCACAGTGAGGACAGTTCCATTGGCCGTACAGACAGGCCACAATTATGAGCCTTTTTTTTTTCTTTTTTTTTTTGAGTTGGAGTCTCACTCTGTCGCCCAGACTGGAGTGCAGCGACTGCTCCCGGCCACCGCAGCCTCGACCTGCTGGGCTCCGGCGATCCTTCTGCCTCAGCCTTCTGAGTAGCTGGAACTACAGGCATGCGCTACCACGCCTGGCTAATTTTGATTTATTGTAGAGATGAGGTCTCGCCAAGTTGCCCAGGTGGGTCTCGAACCTGCGGGCTCAGGCAATCCACTCACCTCAGCCTCCCAAGGCGCGGGATTACAAGCTGAGCCACCGAGCCCGGCTGCCTATGAGCCTTTTGTGCCCTGACATGTGTGTGGAAAAGTCATGGTCTTGCCCTGTTTTGGGTTTGAGGGGCCTGGACTTGCATCTGCTTGTTCTGAGCAGGAGATACCAGGCACTACATTCACCTTAAACACGGAGCAGTGCCCTGATCTGTCTTCCACCTGTTACTCCACAGACTCCACCCTTCCGATCAGATTCTGCCACACCAACACTGTCACCTCTACCTGTTCACGCCTCCGTGCCCTCATTCCTGCTATCCCTTCCCCGAGATGCCCTTCATCCTGTCCTCCCGAGGACATTCTGCTCATTCCTCGAGGCTCATCGTGAATGCCACTTCTTCCATGAAGCCTTCCTTCATACCTTGCTCCCAGTACAAATGAGTCACTTCACGGTGGCATTTCATATGTAACTGTTGTAACAGGACCCGGGTTGCCTTCTGTACAATTGTGGGTGTCCAAGTCCCTAGATTGCAAGCCCCCTGAGGACAAAGGCCCCTTTGGTACACCCCAGCCAGTGTTCCCTAAATGGAGGTCAAATTGTCTTGGTCTTGTACAGAAATGAGGAAAAGAGGAAACAAAGTCATAACTGCTCGTTGTTGAGAAAGGGGGAGGTGGAAGTGGGGGAAGCACTCATCTAACCATCTCCAATCAGATGTGCTTCATTTGGACTTCAAATACTGCAAGGCAGAGAACCAGGGAGCACAATGATTGACAAGGACCAGGCTAAGAGGGTCAGGCGACAGCATCGGTTCAGGCCTGACTCAAGGTCTGGCACTAGGGGCGCAGGTTGCTAGGCGGGAAAGTGGCAGCTGGGCTCTCTCCAAGGTGTCACAACACAGAGGGTTCTTGCGGAATGGATTTGAGTGCAAGTGACAAATACACAAGATAGAAAAAGCCCAGGAACAGAGGGCCCTTGGAGAGGGGTGAAGGGGCCTGAACTGAGTCGGTCCCGCCACTGGTGGGTGGTGACTGAAGCCCAGAGTCACACTTCTCGCCAAAAGAACAAGAGGCAGTGGCAGAAGTTGGCCACTAGCCCTCACATCTACAGATCCAGCACTGATTTCATTTCTTCTGGTGGTGTGGGTTCTGACACTCACTCAGCACTTTAAGGAAATCAGCAAATTCTCATTCCCTGCTCTGGGACACGGCATTGGCAGGGAGAGATGGCTTTCCCAGGAGGAGGGGACCCGCAAACACCATGGAATAGTGTTGGAGGAGGGAGGAATGGACAGTGGTGGCAGGGTGACCTTTGCCGAGATCCATAGGACAAAGCCCATTCCTATAAGGGTGGCTGCCTTGGACACCCTGCTGGGCAGCCACAGGAGAGCCACGTCCTAGCATGGGGGTCTTTGCCTATCAGAGAGAGGAGTGAAATAACAGCAAAGGACCCCTCGAAAGAAAAGGTCCCATAGAGACAAAGGCTTTTTTGGAGACAAATGAAGACATTTTATTCTGACACGTTATAGTTACAACAAGAACTTCAAGTCTCAAAGTTCAAATAAAAATAGCATTTTACAAATTAAAAAAAATACAATTTATACACACAGTAGAATTAGCTCACATTACCATATAAACAAACAGTGCAAACACAAAGAGGAAGCCGTGACTGTGGGGGTGGCCAGGTCCGCAGGCACTGGGGACAACACTGTACATCAATACTGCGTGGCCCAGGAGGGTGTGTGGACCTTTCAGGGGCCTCCTGTCACCCAGGGCCACACCAGTGCACAGAAACATCACACGGTGGGCTGGGCTGAGCACACACTCACTGTAGCTCGGAACTGTTAGCTGAACAAGGTCTTGAGCAAATCATACTCAGAACGCAAAGGTCCCAGTCAGGCCCCGACACCTGTCGGCTCTGCACCCCCACTGCCTCCGCTGAAGCCACGGGACACCTTGCTGGGAACAAACTACAAAACTCCCCTCTAGCCACCCAGACACTGCCCTGGGGATTTTGTTTGCTGAGGTGTCTTATCACTGGCAGGTGACAGAGCTGGCTCGGGTGAGATGCTGAAAATGCTGGTTTCTAATGGACAGAAATCGAAGGAGCAAGGCCTACAGGACTTTGTCACGAGGGGTGACACTGCTGTCTTTGGGCTTATCTGGGAAGGGCAGATGCAGAGAGGACAGGAAACCACGTGCCTTTACGGAGGGGCCTGGGCTTGGGTCCTCCTTGGCTGCCATCCAGCTGATTCAAGGGAGGGAGGCATCTGCATTCTATGGTCTATCTCTGGGCTAAACTGATAGGAACAAAATACTGGTGACTTAAACACAACAGGATGTGCACGAGGGATGAATTCCAATGACATTCACAGGCAGCCTCGTGGCAAGTGGCTGGTAGCCCAGTCAGGGTTCTTCCTGCAGTTCCAGAAAGGGGCAGAAAGGAGCCATGAAGTGTCTATGACAGATGCCCGTGCCAGTCTCCCGGCCTGGACAACTGGTTTCCTTCTTAAGGAGGAAATAACGTGGTCACGCTCTGAACGCTGCCACAAAATAAAACGGCAGCTTGTGAACCAATCACATTTAAAAGGGTTTGTCTTTTTGGTCCTTATGATTCCCGAACTATTTCTTGGGGGTATCAACCCCAGGTCATAAGTCAGGTACACCCACGGAAGCTGAAAAATTTAGAAGTCAAGGAAAGCTGGGCAAGTAGCAAACGCCTACAATCCCAGCGCTTTGGGAGGCTGAGACAGAGGACTGCCTGAGCCCATGGGTTTGAGACCAGCCTGGGCAACTTGGCGAGACCTCTTCTCCACAATAAATCAAAAAATTAGCTGGGTATGGTGGCACACACCTGTGGTTCTGGCTACTTGGAAGGGTGAGGCAGAATTGCCTGAGCCCACCAGGTCAAGGCCATGAGCATGCCACTGCACTCCAGCCTGGGCAACAAAGTAAGAATTCCACTCAAAAAAAAAAAAAAAGAAGTCAAGCTAATTTGGGTCAGAGACAAGAACATGGGAGCATGGAGGGGCACAATCAGTTGGAAGGATTCCAAGCAGCTCCTCCCCAAGGTGGGACTATTCCCAAATATGTGAGCACAAGACCCAGCCTGGCAGAGCCAGAAGCCATGCCCACCCTAGGCCAAAGAGCAGCCTTGGCAGCTGCCAGGGTCAGGGACCGAGGCCTGTGGGCAACTGCTATGGCTTGAGAACAACTGACCGCAAAAGAACACCATTTTGACTCCCAAAGTACATCTGCCCCAGTGATGCCTGATGGGCTTGTAATGCTGATAAACACACAGAAGTCAGGGGAAGAGACATGCGAGTTGTGCCTGATGCCTGGATGCTCACTGTGGGTGCCTTGCCAGAGTGGGGTCAACTGGCCTGGAGGGAAATACGGTCCCCGAAAGACAGGTGTGGTGGTACCTACACTTTGTACTGGAACCTCTGGTACGTGCCAGCAGGGAGTACCTCTTCCTCCCAGCTGCCCTCCCTGCATGCAGCAGGCCCTCCTGAAGTGTCTGTGCAGGCTGGGATGGCCAGCAGTGGGGGAGAGAGAGGCCTGTGAAGGCCAGGCACCCTCTTCCTCAAATACGCCATCTGTATCAACGTTGCATGTACCTTCTAAAGGCTCAGGCATGCCTCCTATCCCTTCTGGAAAGACAGTACCATTCCCCAGAGGCCAGCGGGGCTCTCTGTCTAGAAGTGCTTGTTTTTAGCTGACTTCGGCAGGTGGTGCCAAGATCCTCTGAGCTGGGGCTGCTTCACCAGGAAGATGGAATGAAAACTCAAGGAACCAAAGTGATCAGGGTGGAAATGTGCTGCCAGTAGACCATGAGTGATTTGCAGATGAAGAAAATGCAGAAACATTAAAGACCAGGGTAGACACTGGCCCCACTCTGCCATCAGATTACCCCACTCTGCCATCGGATTGACCATTCAGAGGAGGGGTGGGATGCCAGTGCCTTGTGCTTCTGGTGGGTGGTAGCTCTCAGGAGATTCAAGCCACAGGGCAAGACCGAAGCATTTGCCCACACCCAGGAAGCAGAACGTGTCCCTTGAAATGAACTAGAGGATACTGAGTTAAGAGCCCAATGAAGGAAGTCTTCCCCGAAACGTGGGGAATTTTCTCAGTGCCCAATCCCTAAATCTGGTCACTGGCTGAATTTTGCAATGGGCATCTCCCAGCGTTTGCCTTGGCCAAAGCCCCTCCCATACGCTTAAGGCAACAGCTGGGCTCTCTAGGGAAGCAGCAAAGATGGGCAGGAAGGCTGCTCGGATGTCACCTGGGGGTTCGCCTGGTCTACCTTTGGTCCTGGCTCCTGCAGGGCCTGGGGCAGGTTGTGCCAACACTGATGGTAGAGCCACAGGGAACAGGAACCGGGGAGATAATTGCTGGGGAAGTTAGAAAAGGCCAAGCTTAGATGAGCTCTGGCGGGTCAAAACCACCCCCAGGATCTCTCACTTTGTCATAACAAAGTGTTCAATGACTCCCGGCTTTCCTAGTGAGCAGGTGACTGAGAATCTTCTGTGCCCTGGGAGAGTCCCCGGGGCTGGAGTGAGAGCAAGCCCCTTCCCAGTGGCCCGGGAGAGGGGGCGTTGTCTGTCAGATGGTCTGGTAGTGCTGCCTCAGGCGGGCCTGCAGGAACTCATAGGTCAGGTTGTGCCGTGTGATGATCCCCACGATCTAGACGAGGAAAGAAAGGTCCAAGTCATCTGCAGGGAGACCCACCAGCAAGAACCGGCATGAGGACAGCTGGCCGGGTTAGCCTGTCACAGATGGAGAGGAGACCAAGCCTGGACAGGACAGGGACAGACACGACATGACTGGGACAAAGGGACAAGGGCTCATGAGTGGGAGGCTGGGGGATGAGTTGAGCTCTAAAAAGGCGCTGGGCCGGCTAACACCTGAACTCAAATGTCCTTAAACGGGGCACACACTCTCGCTCAGTACCCATCATGCCCAGCCTGCTTCACAGATGCGTGCATGTCAGTGGGCCCCTGTCGGCTCCCGAGAGCACGACCGCCACCACACTTTACACTCACGCCTGGCAGAGTAACCAGTTTGCTACAGTGGTACCCACTTGTCTCTGATGTAGGCACCCCAAAGCCACATTGTAAACGTGTTAGAACTTGTCAGTATAGCCAACAGTCACATCTCAAGGAACACAATGCAATCAACCGTGAACAAACCCCTGAGAACACGCCATGCTGTGCCAGGGTCATGTGCAAATGCATGGACAAAACTGGAAAGGCAGCCTTGAAAAGCTACCACGCTACTGCTGCAGTGGAGGGCCAAGGGTTTGGTTTGTTTTTTGCTCAACTGCATTTTTGTATTTTCCTACAATGATGTGACATTTGTGTAGTAAGAAAAAAATGTCATTTCTAAATAGAAAAAAATGCAAAAGTCTGTAGGAATAATGACTAGGTGTTGTATCCTTGTAACACTCTCAAAGTGTTTTGCATGAAATTCTCACCCATAATGGGTAAGGGGCTCAGGAACACAAGAAGCAGTCAGGAGTGAAGAGAAAATTAGAATTTTAAAATTTAGAAATTTAGAATTAAGAGATGGATTAAGCAGTTCTGGAGGAGGGCCAGTGGGGCACTGGCGCCATCTGCTGGCCAGGCAGGGGACGGGATTCCCCCCTCCACACAAGGCCTAAATGGGGAAGTTTTCAAAGTCCAGGGCTTGGCCAGGCCAGTTCCCGCACTCTGGGTGGGAAGAGAGCAGATAGTTGAGAAACCTCCCTGTGGGATTCTGAAGCTTCCCCCAGGCGAGAAGCCAAGACTTACAAACAGCTCAGTGGCTGCAGGATGCCTTCTCAAAGGTGGGGGCAGGGCCTAGGCTCTCTTTTCTCTGCCAGACCCAGACTCACCTCCCCCACTGCGTTCACCACAGGCAAGTGGCGCAGGCCCATCGTTCTGAACAGGTTGAAGACCTGGGAGACATGGGTGTTGGGCGAGACGGCGAAGGGCGAAGGGTTCATGTATGGGGTGACGTCCTGTGGGAGAGACCACACGTGTCACCTGCCACCTGAGACGCCAACAGCAGGAACAGGCAGCAGGACAAGTGGGGCAGCCCTTCTCACCACAATCATCCGCGGGTTTAGCAACGTCAGGTCCAGGTCGTGGATGTCAGGGTACCGTGGGTAATCCTCAGCCATTTCAGCATAGGACAGGCGTGGCTGGTTGGCACTCTGCAATGCAACCGAGACACTGTCCTTGCTCCGAGCAGCATGGCTCGCAGGTCACACTCGGGGTCCCTCCCCCTAGAAGTCTGAGCCTGCCCAGCATGGCCCCCGCACCCCTCGAGAGCGAGGCAGCAGGTGCTCTGGGGTGAGACATCCAGATCCAGATCAGTTTTTGGCCAATTCCTAGCTGTGTCATGCTGGGCACGTCCCCTAGTCTCTCGGAACCTCCCCTTCTTCATCTGCAAACTGTAAATTGGTTATTCTGACGTCTAAGTGAGAAAAGTGTAAACAGGAGTGGCTGTGGGTTGAATTGTGTCTCCCAAAAAGACGCAGCCAAGTCCTGCACCCTGGTACTCATGAATGTGGCCTCACGGAATGTGATCAAGATGAGGTCAAGCTGGATGAGGGTGGGCCTGGAATCCAATGACAAGTGTCTTTGAGAAAAGGGAGAAGACACAGGGAAAATGCCTGGGATGTCAGAGACGAGTGGAGGAGCCAGAACTGCAGGCGGCCGCACAAGTCAGGCAGAGGCGAGGACGGGCCCTCTCGGAGCCCAGGAGGACCCACGGCCCTGGCGACACCTGGTTCTATACTTTCGGCCTTGAGTTGTGAAGGAACTTCTGCTGCTTCCCGACACCCAGTTTATGGCAGCTCGATACAAAAGCCACAGGAAACAGGCTACAGCAGCCCTGCTCCTCCTCCACCAGAGTCTCCCGGACTTCCCCTCTCTCCACTGCTGTCAGGCGCAGGTCACCACCACAGGCTCTCAGGCGGGGCACAGTGACCACAAGCTCTGGACACTGCTCTTCCCTTGCATGGCCTCCTCCCCTGACTCGACCCTGGGCTTCATCAGGCAGATCTGGCGGGCTTCTGCATCCTGGCACAGCCCCCAGGGTCAAGCTCACTCCCACCCCTGCCCTGAGGTCCTTGTCCCTGTGCCTCAAGTCACCTTCCCCCATCTCCAGCCAGTCTCCCACCCTGCCAAGTGTCTTTCTGTCCTGCCCCTGGTCTGTTCTCCTGTGGCCCAGGTAGACCCCAGGTGACCTCAGGCCCATGGCCAAGGCCTCAGCAAGAGAGTGCAACCGGAGATGAGGTCTCTGGGTGACTTTGTCAGTGTTCTTCTACAAGACAAAGTGAGTGACGGCGAGTGGGCTTGGGTGGCCGCAGGGACCACCTAGAACACACTCCACCCGCCCTGCTCACCTGCACAAACCCAGCGGAGGAGGAAAAAGAAATACAGCACGATGGGCAGTTCCTTTGACAAAACAAGGAAGAAAGTGCATTCACACTGGAAACGACAACTTAGGAATTGCCCTGAGAGCCTGCGGAGTGGAAGTTAAGTGGACAACATCCTCATGCTCCCCTGCTGGAGTCCCCTGGAGAGACACCAGCCACCACAGCAGGGTCCGCCGACATGACAGAGCCGTGCACACCTGAGTGCTCAGAACACCTCCCGCTGAGTACGGGGGACTGTGTTCCCACTGCCCTCTGCCCTCAGGATCCTGGCGCCAGCGGGAGACTCACCGACTGACTTTCAGAATAACAAACCCCTCGCACGAGCAGGGTGACGAGCTGCGACCGCAGGATGAGGCCGTGGAAGGTCAGGGGGCGGAAGCGCTCCTCCATGGTCCAGTCTTCGCTCGGGGACTGGTCGGGGTACAGGTTGGGGTAGGGAGTGTATCTGTTACACAAAAACCAGACGCTGCCTAGGGGACCCTCAGCGGGACCCGCCTCGCTAGTCCCCAACCCACGTCCCCGTCCCAAGCAGCCCTGGAGCTCCCTAACGCCCGAGATGGCGGCCCCACCGGGGAGCCTGGGCCGCGGCCCTCACCTCCTCTCAAGCATCTGCTGCAGGAGGTCCTCCTTCTCGGCCGGCTCCTCGGGGGCCACATGCTCGTCGCACACGTGCCGCAGCTCACTGGATGGGTAGGACTTCATGGACTGGCTCCGCCTGCGCTGCTCGCCTGCCCGCGTGAGGATGCTGGATTTCTGTGGAGGGGTCACAGTGCCAGGCTTCTACAAGAGGCCATGGAGGGCAGCGCGGGGGCACACCCACCCAGCCGCACCGACCAAGCATGAGGACGGAGACGCTGAGGGGCCAGAGCACACCCCAGCGTGGAAGCGGCAGGGAGTCTGCAGGGTGGCCTGTGGTTCTCAGGAGCCAGAGTCCTAGAACGTGGCTGCTGTAGTCCCTGCGGTTTCTGTCGGCCAAACCCCTCCTCCTTTGACGTGGGAAGAGCACCTCGACTATCAGAGGGCAACAGCCCTCCTACATCCTGTGTTGGTGGGACTGTTCAGTGTGTCTGACCTCAAAGCCAAGGGTGCAGAGCACGGCTGGGGCACGTCCCTCCTGGGGTCCCCAGGTCCTGCACCTGCGTCCTCACAGCACACTAGTCTTCAAGCTTCATGTTGATTTCTTTTTTTCCTTAAGTAGATCAAAGTCCATTTGTTTTTTCTTCTTTTTTGTGTCTGGGTCTCACTCTGTCGCCCAGGCTGGAGTGCAGTGGCACGATCACTGCTCACTGCAGCCTCAACCTCCTAGGCTCAGGCAATCCTTCCACCTCAGGCATGTGCTACAACACCTGGCTAATTTTCTGTAGAGACGAGGTCTCACTATATTGCCCAGGCTGTTCTTGAACTATTGGGCTTAAGCAATTCTCCAGCCTCGGCCCCCCAAAGTACTGGGATTAAGCCACCATGCCTGGTCTTTTTTTTTTTTTTTTTAAGTTGGAGTCTCACTCTGGCATCCAGGCTGGAACACAGTAGTATGATCATGGCTCACTGCAGCCTTAGCCTCCTGAGTAGCTGGGACTACAGGCGTAGACCAACATGCTCAGCCAATTTATGAATTTTTTGTACAGACAAGGTCTTGCTATGTTGCCCAGGCTGGATCCTCCTGCCCAGCCTCCCAAAGTGCTGGGATTACAGGTGTGAGCTGCTGTGCCTAGCCTCACAATCTGTTTCTGTTGTTGGAAACTCTGGAACTCTCTCTGATACCTGTACACAGTAAGCAGTGACTAATGATACCAGCCGACTTCAGAAAGATCTGTACACACACCAACTGCGGCAGAATGAACACATGTCTGAAGGCCTAGTGAAGTCTGTTCCTGCTGTCAAATCTAAACCACTGACATAGACAAGAGCAGCACTGACTTCCCAAAAGTTGGTCACATCTACCACAGCTCAGGGGACAAGCACAAGGCAGCATGAGCACCAGGGACCTGCTGTATCGCACTGCCTTCACTGCCTTTCCTCTTGTGCCATTTTCTTTTCTTTTTCCTTTTTTTTTTTTTTTTTTTTTT